GGTATCTGTATATACCTACCTTGCATCGCGTGTTACAACTTAAGATTAGGTAGTCAATACAACATAGCAAGTGTTTCGATATCTTTATAATTACAGTAATAAAGAAAACTTTCCTTTTTATCATGAATACAATTTGAATAAATCAAATATGTTCTACCAAATAATTATAACGTTTAACAATTATGATAAAAATATTGGTAGGTACCGGGTACCCATTCATTATTTTAAACTATTACAAAATGATCTCTCCAATAATTAATGACCTCAAAAAGATACAATTGTATAATTTGATACATGATGCTATCGATTTTCCTAATTCAGCATATTAAGTTATATTAAATAATATTTTCAATCCCTGTCAAAACATAATTAGATAATAATAGATTTACTAGGTACCATTATCATCATAGCTATTAATATTACAAGTTATTACTATAGMAATCATAGCTTAATACAATTTATATTCAAATAGTCATAATAACGTGGACATGAAAGTAGTGATTGTAATAACGATCAGCAATAAGCCAATAATTTACAATATTATTGAAGTTGGAGATGTCATATTATGATATGGCATGAACCTTTATTAAATCATCGAACTTAACACTACATTTATACAACGATGAAAATTACATACAATAATTATTATAGATTAACTAATTGCAGATATAAAATATAAATTATAAAAAAATATCATTTTTAAAGTACCTATGGTTATTATGTCTATATGAATTTATAAATTATAAATGTTAATTACCTATGAATTATTTGTATATCCATCACCAATGTACCAATACAATTAATATTTTGATACCTTTATAATTTAATATTATGTGCATGATGTCTGTTAACTAGTATGTGAAMTGTTTTTAAAACAACAAATATGAACAATAACAACGCACAAAAATCGATTCATAATAGTATGTACATAATCATAATTCATACCTGAACCTATTACAATTATATAATATTGTAAAACCTAAAAATAGATTAATTAATTTATTATTATTATTATTTTGTTCCAAAAATACTACTATATTACTATAATAATATTTACTGTTACTACAAGAACCTGAATCTTATGAAAAAAATTGGTACTCGGACTGGAAAATTAGAAATCTTCATGTAGATTTTTTCACTGTTAGGCTTATTTTTCAAAAACTTTTAATTGTATCTAGTTCTTGTCAAATGTAAAAATGTTGTTTTCGGAATATAATTTATTCCACTTCACCAAAAAGACTCAATTAAGTAAAGTATGAGTGATAGTCTGGATAGTTCATCAAAAGTTACTATGTTCATGAAACACAACAAGTTAGGTAGTTAATAAAATATTTATTTTTTGATAACTTAATTAATACAATTTTATTTTATTCTAATAAATGAAAAATTTATTTGTATTCATATGAATTCTATTAATAACAAATCATAATATTAATTTATTACATTGTATTATATTATCACATATCAACGTTTAATTTTTTTGGTGACTTATTCAAAATTATTTACGGYCCTATAATGGTTAAAAAATAAAAATACACCAGTATTTAACTAATATGTATTATGTCAAATTCTAAATAGGTATAGTATATATCATATAGTAGGGGTGGTGAACCCACGACGCGTGTGCCAGTAATGGCCAGTTTATCAAATTTCAATGGCACCCGAAAAATTAAAATTTCGAAAACGTATGCTATTCCTAAAATGTTGCTTGTAAAATATTCAAAGAAATAAATTATAAAAATTTTAAAAATTATAATATTTCTTTGTAAAAATGTAAAACTGATTAAGTATGTTACTATATATTATCACTATATTAATTATGTTCTATTTAGTGTTTACAAACTTTAGGCGCGTGGAAAATAGCCAAACCTTTGATTGCAAACATTTGGCACTAGACCCAAAAAAGGCTCGCCACCCCTGGATATACACTATTGTCTGTTATTCATTGAGGTTGCATATGACTCAATATGAGGAAGGGACGTAATGCTCGAGTACTCCCTCCCCTAATATTGTCACCTGTCGGTATTTATATATATCGTTTCACGTAGGTATATTTAATTTTTTATCATATTTAGTTGGAGTCCTCCTTCTCCCGTGTATGATGTGTTAATATATAATAGCTTAAACAATTAGTATGTAAATAAAATTGTATTTAAACAGGTGCACAGTTTCACAACACTAACTTTTATAAATAAATATAATTAACATAATATTTTTGATATCATAAATGCACCTTTAAATCATATGCAAATTATACATTAGCAAAAACTAAGGATGGTCTATAACAGAGTGGTCCTACCCACGGCCCTCAAAGACTTTTTTTTCGTTGACTCCAAAAATCGCACATTTTTAATTTCGACCCCAAAAAGGTTATACTTACCTAGATTAGATATACTTAATAGTTTATTAAAAAAAAAATGTATTTACAAGTATTCAAATTAAAAAAAGCGGGTAAGTCGTGTATGTCGCTCTGCTGTACAGTATATAGGTTACAGGTAGGTTACTGTAATGGATGGAATTAAATTTGAATCCAATTATATTATATCATTGTATACAAAAAACGATTCTGAGCGGAGAGTCTAGGATATATTATAGATTATTAAAAATTACCAAATATTAGATTTAAAAAGATAAATTTTTATGAATTTCTAGCTTAAAATAATCTGCGAATTTTTGTGATTTTTACGTATGATGTCAAAATTCAAACATTGAATGCTTGTAAAAAAAATTGTGACTATGTATTTTTAATATTTTTCAACTGCTATTGTAACAATATGTTAGAAGCCTAGTATTATTATATATACTTATATATTATTATATAATATGTATTATTATTTTTATCGATGATAATTCAAAAAAAACTAATAATAATGGTCGAAAATTTCATGTGCCTTTAAATAGTTCAACTTAAGTTTGAAAATTGCATGGTGGATAGAATATACTTATATAAATTTAATATTTGGTGAAAATTTCATGCATCTATGGTCATTTGTTTTAACGTTACATCAAAAACCAAAATCGATTTTGTCGAAAACTGCAGGATTGTGCGTAAAATTTCCCGTTTTCCCCTTAATTTTTAGTTTGTTTATCCCGATTATTTAGAAAAATATTAAGAATTTTTTACTTTTGACTCCTCAAAGTACCAACTAGATTCACTTTCTGATCGAAGGAGGTACTAAAGTCGAAAATCGAAGCACTTTTACTGCCCCTAAACGTGATGACAGACATAAAAAAAAACACACACACATCATTGTAAAATCAATACATTCCTCGCTCCACTCAAAATCTAAAAATGTAAAAATGTATTAAAACAAAAATATGCATATTATATACAAATATTCTCAAAATTAAAAATTATAAAAATGCATTTAAACAAAAATTTAAAAATGTAAAGCGTGTACAATTTTTAAAGTTTAAATGGCTGAAATATATTACCGAAATTTTTAAAAAATTTCAAACGATCTCCACCTAACACCGCCAAACCACATTTCCACTATTACACACTCTAAATTGTCGAATATTAACCACTTGCCCCCTTTATTACTCTCAATTATTTTAAAATGCATTATTATGTCTAATTAAAAATATTTAAATAATTTAATAACACTGCAAAAAACCACTAAATACCTATCGGTAAGCACTGTATATGTATACTGTATACACAAGAGACAAGACCGACTAATAAAATAATAACTAGTGGTGACAAAAATCTTAAAACGTGTTGGCATGATTATTACAATAAATCTTAAAATCTTATCTCATCTTATCCGTTAGTTAGCACTAAAGATAATGTGCGGTTTTAACCACTATAAGTTTGGCGTATTTTGTTATATAATGACCGAAAAAGTGTGCGGTTTTTGGANCCCCCCCTAACAATTTTAGATCACATTAATATAAAAAACTCGCAATATGATCGTATACAATTTATACGATCATATTACGAATTTATAAGGGCGCCCGGGAATTGGGCCACATTTTAACTACCTAACTGTTTCATATAAAATATTTATTTACATTTTAATACCCGTAGATAGGGCCATAAAAGTATAGCACACAAATATACTATTAATATGAATATTATAATTTTTTTTTTTTTTTATTATTAAAAAAAGGCCTCGGCTTCTAGGCCATTGGCTACTACAGATTTATGGAGTTACATTGGAATAAAGTTGCTTAATATTAATATACAATTATTTTATAGATGGTTGATTAAATTAGAATTGATTATGAATAAAATCGTGTTCTGGATGTTGGCTAGCTGAAGGGCTTTGGCGAGAATGGATGGTGCTCCTGCTTCCCGTTTTTCTAGAATATTATAATAATCTAACCAAGGTGATCAAATAATGTTAACACATTTTCTTTTATTTATTCTTGTTTTTCTCGATCACTATAAAAAATGCTGAAAGTTTTCAATTTTAACTTCTCATATATAAGAATCACCTATAAAAATTAAACCTCCATCGAAGTTTATGATCAGAACACTTTTTTACCAGAAAAGTTGAGAAGTTCAAGTTATACAAATATTCTCAAATATCTCGACGAAACGTTTGAAATTATAAGACTACTAAAAAAAAACATCTTATCGATTTTCAAGCCCCCCAATGAAAATCCCTTGGTACGCCACTGAATATCTTCTATATACACTGCTGTGACGTCTTTGACGGCCGGAGAGACCTGCTCTTTAATAACATCATGCGCGTGTAATATAATAATAATATGGTAGTATAATATTACACCTAAAAAAATAAAATCTGTACACACGGAAAACGAAGCCGCCCGAAACGTGTTGGGTAGGTTTACCGCGGGTGGCGGCGGTGGCTATTGCGCATTTTCTGATAATCTAGTACCGGTATCGTGCGCGCGCGCGCGCGCTTTTCTACCGCGCGCGTGAGCTACTTCCGCGAAACTGGTCACGTCCGGACCGGGCTGCCCGTCGGCGGCGCGGCGGCGGCGCGGCGGCGGCGACTGTGCTTCTATAAAGTCACCGGACATCCATTCACAATCATTCATTGCACCGTTCATCGTCGGGGACCGCGGCCGTGCACACACGTCGTTCCACGCCGAACGAACGCCACACGCGCACATCATATTATCAAAATATTGTTTACCTACATCACCGCGACACTGCACACCGTTCGCCTGTCCACCACGATGGTCAAGTACGCAGCAGCGTTAGTGTTGGCGGTCACCGTCACCGCGGCTCTTGCGGCCGAACAGACAGTGCTGTCCACTGAACAGCCACAGCAGAACGGCGCCGACGGCGACGTGTCCTGGACCGAAGTGATCGCGTGCTACAAGAAGCCGCAAGCGGCCATCGGATGCCTGGAATCGCGCATGAGCCGCGCCATGAAGTCGATGCGCGACACGGCCGTCGGACTGGCCCACAGCGACCCGGAAACCGCGGCCGAGGACGTAGCTGGCGTCGGCAATCTGGTCCAACAGATCGGCGATTTCATCACGTACGGCATTTCCAGTTACTTCCATGGCGGTGACGGCGGCGGCGGTGGTGACGTTGATGAAACTTCAGCGCCTTCCACCGGCGGGTCACCTGTCAACGCGCCGAACGACCTCGACGAAGGTGAGTTGTCTTCTATATATACGTCTTACATTACATTATTATCATTATTATTATTATTATTATTATTATTATCGTATAACACACTCACCTATACCCACTCGTAATTGCCCACACCATTTGCCGAATAGGTAATATATATTATTTCACTGTCTCGATTCGACTCGTATGTCAAACACCACGATAGTACTCAACCATCGATCACATATTATATTATAGAATAGGTATTTAGTATTTACAGCCCGTCGGTAATAGGTAATTTCGATTTTTTCACTCGTGGTCCAACAGGTGTTGATTATACTTGCGGATATCAATAGTTTTCATATATAGACAGTATGACGCTCATAATAATATGTTTTTTATAGATACCGCAAAATTTATTTACTACGATTTTAAAATGTTTTTTACTTTTTTATGATAAATGTCGACATTGAATTACAGTTTTTGCTGACTTTTCGACTGTCATGGCCGTATTCCGACCGTATTTACACCAAACTATGTACCTTACTGTCCAATTATTATTACGATATTATTATCTTACCCACACTCAATTTGGTGGCCAGTTTGTAAAAGGATTGTTTTAGGCACAAACTGGACATGAATCATGTAATCGCGAGTTTAACGTCAAAACAGAACATTTGAATAGGTGCATTATTATATTCAGATGTCACGCCGACGTCAACAATATTAATTACTACCCATTTTCTCTCATTTGTTCATTAAAATATACATAGGTAGGTACAATCGTTCGTTTAAATCTTTATCGTTATGTATGTAGGTATACTAGGTAGTTGATATTCAATTCGAAACTATAGTCGCGGATAATTCGCAACAAATATTTTTATTTTATTACGAATAATTTAATTATTATCGTCGCTAATACAAAATACGTTTTATAATTAATATACATTTCTAAAACTCAATAAACTAGGAAATTCAAACGTACCCATCACGTTGAAAGCAGCTCTCGGAGCCTCCATGCACGGGTTCTCAAATTCTTAAAAAAAACCAATCTCTATAATAAAATCTAAAAAAAAAAATTGTGTATACTAATTGTGACTGATATATTAATGCTGATATAAAAAAATTAAAAAATAATATATAATATAATTCAAAAGTTTTTAATTAAAAAAAAAAAAAAAAACAATTATTATTATAATATCTTATTTGGATTTGGGACATCAGCATAATGTTATATATTTCATATGTATCTTTAAACAATGAAGACATCGATCCTCTTACAATAATAACGTATGAATGAAGAATTATTTTTTACTACCTATATAGTTAAGTACTATCATGAATTACGAGCTTATGATTCATACAATAACAATACCTACCTACATTATGTTTACATTACGCTACACCATAACAGCTATTAAAAGTTACTATTAACTAAACGATAATAATAAATATATTATTTATGTACCGGCCATCATGTGTGTGTACCTATAGTAAATACAATTTTTCATTTGGCCTGTGGCGCCTTCAGATGAAATAGTGTTTTATTGCCTATTAAGATATTATTAGATATTAAACTAACATGAAATATTTACTTTTTGAACCAATCTAATGAAATAAGATGAAATTTGAAATTCGTGATACAGTTACCGTAAATTCAATTATGCTGCATAATGACTAATGAGTTATACATGACAATCCGATAAATACAATTTCATTAATTATTGCATAATCTGCAGCTGTTAGAATAAACACTATTAAATATTAAAAAACTTGAAATTATAGTTCGTACATATTAGGTTGTTTTTTTTGAAACATTCTATCCAAAGACTATATGCATAATATGATTTATGAACACAATAATTGAAATTGGCAATTAATGAATAACGATTTTTAATTAATGTTACATTTGGTGCAGTTATAAAAATATCATAGTAAATAAAACTGTAACCAATAATATTCAAACACCAATTAAAAATAATTGTTGATACATTATTCAGCTAGAAATTGAGAATTACAATTTTCATCACGGTCATTGTTTCTCTGTAATGAATAAAAGAAAACATACAATGTACATTTCTTAACTCATCAGTCATCACCTACTTTTTATTGGTATTCTTCCATTCATCTTGTAACAATAACTATTTATAACCGAATAATAAAAATGAATAAAATACACACAGAATAGGTATAGGACATAATATCAGTTGTTGTGAATTGCACATACGATCACTTATAATTATGTGTATACCAACGAGAGCATAGTTGTAGAAATGGATATATTGATACACGTGGGAGTGACATTGATCGGAGCCCGATCGAACAATACTTACAATCATTCTCTATAGGTAGTGAAATAACATTTTTTTTAAATTGGCTCGTGTCTTGTCATCACTCATGACACTCATCTAGACACAATTACTGATCTACGATTGAGTTTTCCATTTTTTGTTTGTTCGATGTTTGTCCACGGGTTTTATTAAAAATATATATTTATATTTTTATCTTTGCGAAGTGAAAACATTCACGTATTGTTCACTCCGAATGAAAATCTATGGGTACATACCTAACTCATGTTTAAATAATCACACGAACGATAATGGTCCACAAGGCCACCGGAACACAGATACCTGAACACATATTAAATGCACATAATATTATATTTTATACACCATGCCCGCCTTCGTGAATATGATGATACTCTGTGCCTTATAGACTTTCACCGCAGTTGTTAACACCTCTTGTCTAGTCACGTGTTTATTATACGATTTCTCGAAAGAGATTCTATAAAAACAATTGAATAATATCTGACGACCAGAGCCGGATTGGTTAGGCGAGCTACCGAGAAAATCTCGGTGGRYCGCTTAAAGTTAGGGCCGGTAGTGTCAGAGTGTGGGTGAAAATAAATACATGTTAGAATAAGTAAATAAGTTTGTATCGGTTTTAGACGTAATAAACCAATAAAAAATAATAGAGACCCAAATTTTGGGACAGTGAATATGTAAATGGGCCGCTTAGAAGTGAAAATCTCGATGGGCTGATGTATACCAATCCGGCCCTGCTGACGACAGTTGTTTTCTGCCACCAAAGGCTATAATGACCGGCATACATTTTTCACCGCTGCCCACAAGTGAATTTCTTGTGAACAAAACGTACATGCTTAACCTAGATTATTTTTTTACACTCATTTTTTCCAGAGAATAATATTAATAATCAATAGTGGACAATTGTATGTATAGGTATTGTATTTAACTACTGAAATTCGTGTGAATAATTTCATGTGGCCTTTGAGTCGGATTTCTTTAATATTATGTAGGTACCTATCCCATTGGTTATTAATTATTGGTCGTTAGCTAGCATTTTCATCGCGGACATCGTACTTTGAAACATTATAATACTGTTAATTTTTGTGGGTGGTTGGATTTTTTCAAAATTTACCAACAAACCAGTTTCCAAAAGTGTTACGGATGAGGACAAATAATAAGACGCAAATATTCGGAGAAAGAATATTATTAATGTTAGTCCCGAGATGTCAAACCAGTTTGTTCGATCCTAAAAAAATATGTTAATTTATGTATATGTTTCACCGTTGAGACTGGGACACTTAAAATACCGTAGTCGGAAACTAGTTGGACTACTACAGTGCGTGTTAAAGAGTTCCCATATTTGTACGAGTATTTAATCACACAATGAGTGAATCCGTATAGACGTCATGGAAATTCTATCAATGCTATTAATATATTTTTGATTTGCCGACCACGATACTCAAACCGGATGTTCGTATATTTATAAATTATAACGTACCTACATAATTATATGTACAAAAAAAACTTAAAAAAAAAAAAATTAAAACGTCCAGGTAGAAAGTTTGATATGTGTTGTATTTTATTAAATTGTAACGAAGGAGGTGTCTATACTGGTATAATGGTTACCTACGTGTCCTTAGCTTACCGTCTATAACTTGAACAACTCACAGCAACAATTATGTTCGATTAATAATAATATTAAAGAGATCTGCATAGAACTCGTTTACAAAATAAACCGGTCGTTCCCATAACAATTTATGCACTCCAAAACGTAATGTTTCAAAAACCGTTAATGGTTTTAACGGGAATTAGCAATTTAATACTGCTATAAAATTAGTTATGTGGATTAACAGTTAATGCTGCATCGACGAGTTATAGGATGTTTATTATTCATTATTTCATTAGGTATATTCAAATAACATATCACATGCAATGAAAATATGTAACGTACCTATTATAAAACATTATCACATATCGTGTAGACTGTAGGTTAGTGGTGCGTTCAGTATAAGTATGATTTTTCGTATTAAAATATAATTTTCACGTGTTGTTACTTGTTTTTATTTCATGATAACTGGTATATTGTGTATGAAACATAGTGTGTGTTTAATGTCGAATCTTTTTATTTAATGCAATTGTTTATAATATGTTTATGATGGTTGAAAATTACTATTCCATGCGAATCTTATATTTATTTCGACGTGTTACCAACATTTTTATAAATGCGTTGGGTGCTTAATAATTTCACAAAATTATATAGAGCGTAAAATATAAAAGTGAATTGATCATATTTTGACTTTAACTTTTTGTTTGATATTTTCCATACACCTACTTTCATAGCACTCATAAATTACTACATTTAAAAATTAATCATTTACCTACACATATTTTAACATTATAAATTATCGCGTGAATTGTTCGTTTTTTTACTTGATATTGAGTTCTGATAAAGGAAACAATAATCCGATGAGATTGAAACAAACTCATATCCAAAACATACTATCATTAACAAGCCATACATGAATAATAAATAATCTAAGGGTTTAAAAAATATAATAATAACACGGCAATGTGTCAATAAAAATTATGTAGGGAAATTATTTTGTTACTTTTTTGAAGTGCATTCAAGTTCATAAGTGTAAAGTATTATTACATTTTAGTATATTGTAGTATTCAAATAGTCACAAGAGAAATCTTGAACAAAAAAACAGATTGAATAAGATGTACTTGACATTTTTTTTAAAATAAAGTATAGAATGTCGACTGTCTCCTCTACATAATCTCACTAGTAGAAGTTTGTGTGAATTTCTGTCGGACTATGTAGGCTGTAGGCATTAGGTACCCCTTTAATGTTAAATTATGTCAACCGGATTTTTCCATACCGGTAATCAATTATAATTTATAGCATCTAGTTTTAATCGCCTGAATTTTAGTACCTCTGAAATAAACCAGTTTTAAACACAAATATATTATACGCACTAAATAAGATTGTCGGATTTATCTTTGTTAGGCACTAGATATCTATTTTCAGTAATTTACCTCTTCTTTTAGATAAAGTCTAAAAACATGACTTATATAGGTAGCAAAAGCAAAAATTGAAATTGAAATACTATAAGTTGTATAATATATATTTTTCTATAAAAAATCTACTTGAAAATATTTATAAGTTTATCAGTTTTTTTATAACTCGACAAATATAAATTTTATATCTACGATTTTTTAATTTCTAAAATCTATTTCAATCGATTTAATTGTTGCATTTTAAATCAATATAATGATTTAACATAAAATATAGCTAGGTACGTACATGATATATTTTAATCTATATTAAGTTATTGGATTAAACCAGTTTAAACACCACTGAAAGTACCTAGGTATTTAAATTTTAAATTTAATAATTACCTAATAATTTCACTTATGCAGTTATGCGCACTTATTTAAATATTTTTCATAATTATTGACCAAAAACCAATAATTTACATTCGTTAATTATTATGATAACCATAATTAATGCTGATAATATTAAATTTCTCTCAAAAATAACAAATTTAGAACATTTCTTATTTAAATATTTAAACGTTATTAAAATCAAAATCAAATACTCTTTGGTTTATTTATCTATCAGCAGTTAGTTAATTACTGTTTTCGTACCTGTACAAATGAAAATTCACTTACCCCATTGAACACTCATCCTGCTTTATATGCATATATAGATAATTGGAAACATGGACATGAAAGAAATAGATGTGCAAGGTTAATGCCACTGTCAAGGGTATAATTTCCATAACCAAGTGATTATTTATTCCAGTGTTTTTATTATACTTGATTATATGTAGGCCAACTAGGTTCAAATCAACATGTCTTCGACTTGGGAACCGGTTGTAAATAAAGATAGATTGAAATCAGCCGACAATAAATTAATTAAACTAGGTCACATATCCGTCGTGCCGTTTGAAAGCAGCCGTTTTTTTTTCGATCAACGACCTAAGCTCTCCAACAAGATTAAGACAATCTTGTCTCGAATGTTTCCGTTTTCTGTGCATTCCTGTAACTATTCCAGTTTTCTTCTTCTGTAATATCAGAGATGCATTTAAATTAAATTTACTGAATGCAGAACGATTAAATTAATAGATTTATTGATTTTTTTAAAATTAATTTTAACTCAGATAAAAAATAAAATAGATGCTTAATTTAAACTTTTTTTTTGCAGGCAGAGGACATCATAAGAAAAAGAAGATCCAAAAGGAAATCAAGAAATTCGTGTTGAAGGTGTTGTTTGGTATCTATCTGTTCAAACAAAAGATCAAGATGATCATCATGACAATCCAATCGATATTGATGAGCAAGTTCTTGATCATCGCAATGATCTACGCCATTTCCAACACTTTCAAGATTTGGTACGATATCAAGTGGAGTAAGCAAGGTCACCACGACAAAGTTGTGTACTACGAGAATGCTCACCACCAACACCACTATGAGCCACCAGAGCACGGAGAGTATGATGACCATCACGACCATCACGGTTGGGGAAGTAACATTTGGGGTAGGAGTATTGTGGCCACCGAGCCTTCTGTGATGGAATCATCCAACGGTGGTTCACCTGGTTCTCAAGATGGCATTAGCCGTTATATCAGACGAGTGTCCAGGACAGCACAACCCCAGGCTGCAGCACAATCTATGGCCTATGGAGGTCAAATTCCAAGTCAATGAACACCCACGCTTTCTAATATATCTTCACCCTAACCAAAACTATAGAAAATATTAGGATTTTTTTAAATTTTTTATGTCTCTATTTTTCCAACTATTACATTATTTGTGAACTTGAAAGAGTGACGAGTGTAATACAATTTACAATTTAATATGTATTCGTCCGAAGCTAATTATTCAAATGAGCCGATCACGGGAATCGGCAATTTCATAGACAAACTCTATCGTCTGATTATATACAAATCAAAAGACGTCATGAGAAAACATTCTTATTCTGTGGAAAGTAGTTTTCCTGTAATTCCTAAACTAGGCCATAATATAATTATCATTAACTCATAAMATATGCACTCCTTATATTTACTATATATTATACTTTTATTTAATTAGGATCATAATCGTCCTTAATAAAATAAATTTAGTATTATATATAGTTTGACAACTCATTAGTCTGGTCAGTTAGATTATATTTAATAATTAATTTGAAACTATTATAGTGTTTAGTGTAAAAGACTTCTGTTTGTTTACTTAATTTAAACTAATATATTTCACTTAAATTAATGTTTAGAAAAAAAGTTAGTTTGTCGTTTATATGATAATCATGAATGTCACAAATATAACAAGCATGGCACAAACGGAATAAAACCTGACATAAGACATTGCTCAATATTTTTGGTTTCAATAACGATAGTTTAATGTCAATCAATGTATTAATTTAATTTATATATCAAAAGGATGATGTTAAAATACAAATTATTGTTCAGAATAATATTATGCATTCATATATACTTATTGTATTATTTATTTATTTATTTATTAATTTATTTAAAAATATTTATTATATTATTTTTTTTTTATATTGTAAAATAAAAGTTTTCATCCGAATCGTTTTGTTTTAGCCTACTATTTACTTCAAATAGATATTAGAATATACATTGGTATTTTATACGTATTATGATATTCAATAACAGTTAGGATACTGTAAAAAAATTAAGCGTCTACAAAAATAGATACTAGATATCAATATCTGCAATTTTTAATACCTAACCTAACCTTGAGGTGCTGATATGTTGTGTGACCGTTGAACAAATATTTCAACCACGAGGAAAATTAAGAAATAACAAAAATTCAACTTATAGGTGTACGTGAAAAAATGAAAAGTGATTTTATTAAAATTTGTGAATTTTGAAAGAATCACAAAATTACAGCGATCTCAAAAGCGTTATAATATTATATTTTTCAATATTTAAACCACTGCAAAATGTACGAGTATTATTAATAACTAACGCAATTTCAGAGCTTTGGTACGATTTGTTAATATAGTTAGCAATTTTAAAATTTTGTTTTCTCTCATTTTAACCATGGTATGTATGATTTGCTTACAAAACTTGCAGATTTGCGTATGAATCGTATGATGCTATAATGAAATAAAATTTAAAATAAAAAAAATCGTCTTTATATTTTGATAGATAGTAGGTACCTTATACCTATACAAAAGTTAAGATGTTGATGTATTTGGGTCTCTAAAAACTCCAAAAAATTAATTGAATATAATAAAAAGTAAATTATTCTAAAATCTTTATCACGGGAATTTATTTATTTATGTCTTATGGACTGAGTTCTTTTTTATACCTACATAAATAAAAATATACAGTTTTTATTTACATTTATAACATAATATTCCTAAACACTATTCATCTTTTGAATAATTTTCATTCCTTTTGAAACTAAATTGGTGTCTAATTGGTGCAACAATTATATTTTACAGATAAGTGATAAGGATAACACATTCTTTCCTTCCTTCCTTGGGTATTGTCAGCCACTAGGATAACACATAGATAGATTAGATAATACGTCCTTCAAATAAAGTTGAAATTAATTTTAAGTGGAACCTAAAATGTTCAATTTTGACTCAAACTATATATTTAGTCAACAACGATTATTTTACATAGTATGAATCTGAATATAGTTTCAAGTCTCAATACAGATATAGGCAAAACAATTCACAGATTAATGGCTGTTGTGATGTTGTATATTAAGAAAAGTATTATAGGTAAGTAAATAATGTATAAACTTTAATTATACAGTTAATCACAAACAGACAATTAAAGAAAGCATGCTTGAATCAAATAATCTTCTATATAGGTAGTAGTTTTCATGTTACCTCGTGTAAGTCTTATGCGATACCAACACTAGCTAATGGTTTATACGTTTTATATGTTTACGGTTTATATGTTTATCAATTATCATTATATCAAAAGGTAGCAAATAGAATATGATACAATATTGGCATAGAAAATTCCTATAGAAAATAAAATATTATTTTAAGTAAATTAGTCATCAGTCATCAGATGCGTTTCATTTTGTAGTACCCAATGTCACTTAGTGCAGTACTTATGTCGTGACAGCTTATAACAGGGGTTGAAAATTATTAGAATTCCACGGCTAAAAATTACCTTTTTGTTCTTCGAGCGTACCATGAAATTATTATATATTATTTAACCAAAATATATATATAAATGTAATATGAATATTTTAATTTTTGCATAGCATCAAAACTTTTCGTGTGCCATGGATTTGCCATCCCTTGTCAGTAGGCTGATAGGTATAGATACCATTACAAATATATCTGTCAAATGTATGCATTGAATATMACAGTGCAATATGTAGCATTGATATGTCTATTTTTTAATACAACTGTACCAATATCATTTAAAAGTATCTTCTCCCGTTACATGCAATTAACAATACTGTTACCTATAGTGATATATATATTTTTACTTCGGTATAAATGTGGAGTGTATAAACGTTTTCCTACAGTTTTTATTCTTTGAGTTGTTTTCAAAATATTTTAAACGAATTACTTTTTGTGAGTTATTATTACTATAAATTAATTGAAAAGAAATTTATTTTAGAACTAACCTAGTTCTTATACAATACCATAAGTCTTAACTATTTATATAACTGATAAATATGTTTTATTTACTATTTAAATTTTAAGTTCATAGCCATTTAATTCCTAATTAAAAAATAAACATTTAATTAAAATACCAACTGTGCATCAATAAAAATTAACTAGGTATATTAAAAAAATAGAAGAACATTTTTAGAAAATATCAATGAGAAAAAAAAATATTCAATCTTAAATTTTTGTTGCTACCTATAAATTGTAGCACGTATAATAATATGTATTCATGTCTTTTCATCGATGTGATAAACACTATGGATAGTTTGTTATTACTGTGTAATGAAATTAAACATAGCAATAAACCTATTTGTGATCATACTGGTGTAATAGGAAAATGCTCTTAAAATATAGCTATACCAGGTACCGTTTGGTTACCTATTGGACTTTCTGGAAACGTATAGCTGGTTGTGTTCATTAACTATATGATAACTTTACTGGAATGCTCACCCGCCATAAGACCAATGTAAACATAACCGAGATAGCCTGTTAGAAAAAGACAGCAGATAAGAATGGTGTTGCTATCTCTTTTTATCACACTATCAATACGACACTGTTTACCAATAAATAATAATAATATCGTTCGTTTAACGTTTTGTTCTTTGTT